TTAAAAAATTATTAGAATAAAAATCAAGAGGAAAATACACATCAGTCATTTCCATACCCACTCCTCTTTACTGTAAATTTTGTAAAATTCCCTTTTAATGCCACTGTCCTGCCTCTGCTTCAGTTGGTCGTTTGAAAAGAGGTTCCAACTCAGCATTGTGAAGGGCAAAGAGTTGCTATCCCCAGTCTCCAGTAACAGATGGAGGCCTTTAAAAGCCAGTTTGCTCTGGGCATTAAACATGCTGGAGCTGCAACATTTGATTCTTTCTCTTTTAGAGAGAGTAAATGTGTCAGACTGGAATATAACAGGCTTTGGTCTTCCACGGCTATGAAGAAGTACAAAATCTGTCCACTGCTGTTAATAACTGACTATAAAGATATATTTTAAAAGATGCCTGCCTGCAGCTATAAATATAAGCAAGTATTTTAGAGGCCTTTATATATGAAAAGAACCTTTCACAAATAAAAATCTTTGCCATCAGAAAATTATGTCTTCAAAATGGCTTCATGGAATCATAGAAGATTATGTGAGAGATAATGAAGGCATCACATTTAAATATTCTTCACTTTGATACTTTCTCTTCAGCTTTTGATGATCATCCTTTAAGGTTATTCAGATCCTAATCTTCTGAGAGATATTTGAGATGAAGAGATACTTGAAAAGGCAATTTTATTTCTTGTGTGTGTCATGTTGTCTGGAGTGCCAGCTTCACTCCAGAGTGTACATGAGGTCAGATCTCACCTGCTATTCTGATAGTATGTGGACTCTGGACTCTAATAGTGCCTCTGGGATTTAAGACGTACACCATATTATTTTGCCATTATTTTGCTAAATTGGAATATATATTTCATGGGAAATCCTTTCATGTGTTAAATATAATCAAGTTCCTTGTTGCTTCTTTCCATCAGTCAGGCAGTATTTTCTGATGAGGAACCTTGCTGACCATTCCACAAGCCACTGTAAATAAGGCTATGCAAAAAGTGGACTACATTCAGTACGTGGAAGTGCTGCTACAGAATAGTTCTGGTACTGTATAGGAAGGAAGCTGAGTATATCAAATGGCAGAATGTACCTTTTTCTTAAACAAAGCCATACTAATATACTTATCAGTATGTTTCAAAATACTTTCCTTGCATAATATGCCCTGATGTCTTATCCACACAGGTACTAAAACTGCAGTAGAGAAAATTTCAGAAGACATGGCAAAGTAGGATGTCAGTGTTTTCTGTGTTTAGCTGGACTGCTACCATGGTAGTGCACATTTTACAAAGGAAGAATGCTTTGGGAAGAACTCACCAGTTTCTTTACATCTGATTTTATGACATTATCAAATATGGATACATAAGATTGTGAAGAATATGCTATTAGATGAGTTAATGCAAAATCATTTAGCAAGCATTTTCCTTCTTAGGCTTTATTCATCCACAGGAGCTCAAAGGCTTAGTAATACTGAATCAAAAATGTTATTTTTCTGTTCCCATGGGCTGTCTTTTATACTGGCCAGAATTGTGACTGTGTGGTGAAAGCCACTTTGATGTTCCATGTGTTTTGCAGTAAGAGGGTCATTAATGACATATGGCCTTTTGTGATGGCCGATGGAAACAAAGGCTCAACCAGTTCCTTGTCTCTCACCTGTTCACAGGTAATGAGCAGGCTGTGACAATTTCTGTGGTAGCAAAGAGCAATGAGGAAAGGAGAATCTTGTCTCCAATCTGAATTGAGTACAAAGGTGTTTTTCCTCCTTCCTGTATTCGTTGTTTTCTCCTTCCTGTATTCCATGCAGGCCTGACTATGGAATAATCACAGATCTTATCCTTATGCTCCTTTTTTTTCAAACTACCTATGACTGATGATATTTTCCTAGTCTGGCAACTTCTGAGTTTGTATTTTATTTGGCAAGACCAGTTGCCTTCCATGTGTTCAGCCGAATTTGTGTTCCTGATTACCTTCAAGACAAATTTTTGGGTTAGTACTGGACATATGGAAATGTGACCAGAGGAGGCACATCTGGCTTTAACTTACCAGATGTGCCTCCTGTGTCATGTGAAATTTCCTCAAGGATACAAAGACCATTGAAATTGCTTGATTCACAGGGTAAAAAGATTCCAGAGTAAAATGTTCTTAATTGTTTTAAGAAAGGGGAAATTGAACTTCAAAAGGTTCAAAAATCCATATCATTTAAGGGATTCTAAATCACTGGGGTGCTTTAAAAAATAATTTCACTGTAACTTGAAATTTAATTGCCTCTCCCTTCCATTTGCTGTCATGGTACTTTCATCTTCGTTGTTTTCCTGAAAGAGAGTGTTGTTATTGCTGTTTATTTTAAGAAATCCACTGAAATTTTCCTGCAGCACTGCAAAATTTCAGGGAGGGATATGTTTTAGTATTCTGCATTATTAATTTTTTTTATATCTCTGTAATTTTAAAATATGAAGTTTTAATGAATGTTCTCCTCTAAACCCTGGACTTTTGCATTTCTAGCCTAAGAAGCTGAGGATAGTCAATGCCAGGTGCAGCCAGAATACTGCTGCAGCCCCACAACATATCATTTTTTTAACATTATTCAAATTAGGCACTGCACTCATAATTCTGTTGTTTCCTTTATTACTGTTGTAAAGCAAATGGTTCTTTTATACAAATGTTATCTCCTGGCTATTAATTCAGCAGTTATTTTGGATTATGGCACTCCTGTTAAATTTAGGAATGTAAAACCTCATAAATATGTAAAAGTTTCAGACTGACATGGGAAGAAATTGTTTTTGACTTGCTTTGTTAATATCCTATTGTTCAATTTGTAATAGATTTGGAATATATTGTTGTTTCTCCACTGTTTGACAAATGGAAAAACAATTTTAGTTGAGCAACTGCTTCAAGTGTTCTACGTTGAATTGCAACAGGCTGATAAAAGTGTTGGTTTCCAGAAAAAATAGCAAGGAAAAGATCTGGTTTTCTTTAAGAGGCCAAAAATTCTGAAAAATCTTTATTAGATCTCACTTCAAAGTTAATGGAAATGCAGCAGTAGGTTTGTAAAGATTATTTGATAAACAATTTCAAGAAGATATACTCACAATCAAGTGCTTCTCTTTCAGCTTGTTATTTAACCTTTTCACTAAGGAGCTAAGGAGTATGATGTACAAATGTGTTTCTTCCCCAAAAAATGGTTATATTGAGAGTCTTATTTCTATCCAGTGAATGTGTTCATAGACTTAATATTAATGTGCGTCTCCAGGATCCTCCAAGTGTTTGAAGAATAACTGAATGATAAAAAAGTCACAATTTTTGTTACTTAATGAAGGTCTGGAGAGCACAGTTTCTGGGCCAGCATTCCTGCTTCACACCTAACCACATTTTCTTTCTTTATCTTGGAAGTATAGACATAGGTTTTCAGATCTTAAAGGTGTTAAAGTGTAACTCCTGTTGGGATCATCTAGAAGTATTCCAAATATTTCAGTGATTACTCAAAAAGAGATGCTGTATTGATTCAGCCTGGATAAGTATGTTAGCAGACAACTGAGTGTGCAGTTAACAGAGCTTGCATCTCATGCTCCAGAGGTTCTTAAGCTGTGTCCTGGGATGACACTTGACTTGATGGGTTTGCTGTATTTCCTGTAATAGTTTAACTCCCTGGCACAGTGCCATGACTTTCTGAGGTACTGGTGTGCTTTATTGGGTACCGAACCAAAAACACTCTTCTTCTACCTAGCAAGTAAGTTAAAACTGCAATGTTAATACTATTTTATGACAAGTTTATACCATCTTCTCCTACAGGAGAAGATGCTGCTAAAGCAGCTTAATATCTGCATAAAGTAATTTATTGAGGTGGCACTTTATCTTCAGCTGAAAGATGATTTTTACATGTCAGTAATTTGTAGTTAGAGTGCAGTGTTTCAAAACACAAGTTCTCAAAGGGAAACCATAAAGTATAACCATAATACCTGTAACGGTCAAGGTGAACTTACATTACAGTTGCATTAACTAATTGGTATTTTATGCAAGTGTGTAGCTGGATGTTCCACACCAGCTGTGGATTTTAACTAATTCAGCATTGCCCAGCTCATGACCTGTGGGCTGGATCCAGCCCCTTGGAGAGGCTTCTGACCCATCACCCTCTCGCTGTGGGAGACGGACAGATGCTCCTTCAGCGAATGCACCCCCTGCACCTGCCCTCTCTAGAGAGAAAAGCAGCAGGTCTGAAGCGGTGTAAAGAAGGTGAAAGAAGCCTGGGAGGTTTATCAGCACCTCTTCCTGGCTCATGCAGGTGCTGCTACTGAGCAAGCCACAGCACACCTCTGTGCTCAACTGAATACATCAGCCAGTCTGGCACACATTCCTATCTTTGTGTGCACAAGAGCAGCTCATTCCTCTCTTACAAACAGAAGACCTGGTTATACAGTCAAAGCAAAATGTAAGGCTTTTGCTGTTGTTTACTATAAAATCAGCATGTTGAAAATTCTTTTATGATACTTTGGAGAGTACTTCTGTCTAGCATTCCTCTTCTTCTGGTTCTATGTGTGTGTAGTGAACACTGTAAAGCAAAGGGTACTTGTATGCTTATGATTGTGAAGGCATTTGGATGAAGAAATTCTGCAGAGCAGTATATTTACTTTGCATTTCTAAATGGTAGCAATTAAAATTCCCAGCTTCTGGCTATCCAGATGTTTCTTGCATTATAGAACTATAATTTGCATTGGAATATATTGTGTTACTGCAGTGGCTGTAAAGTGGTCAGCTTTCAGTCTAAATGCTGTATCAGTGCTCCAGTTGAGATGGTGAACATATTTCCTGCTCATGCCAGGTTCCTCTCCTTCCCACTGTTTCCACACTCTGTTAGCTTGACGTGTTTGTGTTTCTCAGATGAAGACTTTTACTGCTCAGCATTTGAATCAAGCAGGGGATGTATTGGCCGATCAGACCTGATGTACAGTTTATTTCTTGTAAGAGTGAAATGAAGGAAAAAGGACGGAAGTTTTGAATGAGAAATTTCCCTTTGGCATTTTCAGGCAGCAAACATCCCTCTGGTGTCAGAGCTTGGCATTGACGATATCCATTTTGATGACTTCTCGCTCGATGTGGATGCCATGATTACTGCAGCCCTGCGGATGTTCATGGAACTTGGAATGGTTCAGAAATTTAAAATTGACTATGAGGTAGCCATCTGCGCTGCAAATATCTGCTGCTTTTGTCTTGGCACTGCTCTGTCCATTTGTACACATTTAGTAGCCCTGCTACAAATGGTACTTTGCATTTCAGACGCTGTGTAGGTGGCTCTTGACGGTGCGGAAGAACTACCGAATGGTCTTGTATCACAACTGGAGGCACGCTTTCAACGTCTGCCAGCTGATGTTTGCCATGTTAACTGTGAGTACCCAGCTACACAGCCCCCTAAGAGCTTTTACTGCCACACTGCCTAACCCGTCTAAACGTTTTCCAGCATTCAATTTCTTTTCTGGTTATTATGCTACTCATTTCCAATAGCAAAGCAGACAGAATTTATTCAACTTAAGGCAGCACATATTTGGCAAAATCTTACAGTGTTTTAGTGACAATGATATCATAGGCACATTAAAGTGACTGAAAACAGATGGCAGTTTTGCAATGCTCTTGTTATTACAGATCTTGATCTTAGGAAATGTTTTTCTTTTGGAACTCTTTGATTTGACATTTATTTTAAACTCCTAATTGGGAAGTACAAAACCAAGGATTAGAACCCCAAAGTATTTATTATGTTGATATTTATTATCTCTTTATCCAGCTTCATCTAAATAGTTTGAGAAGGTACTGCCTCAAAATATTTGAAAATTATCTTCCAGCATAGTGATCTAAGTGAATCTTGAGTCTCCACTAGACATTGTTAAAACTTAGGGGTTTTATTAGCATGTATCTCCAGGAGTACCTGTAGGTCCTTTCAGCTTCAAGTAAATTCTGCTGAAATGTCAAGTAAATTCTGCTGAAAGTACCACTGCTAACATACTAGAACAAGTATACTGCTCTCTCTCTCTACCCCACAGCAACCTCACTGTGTGAAATAACCCACGTTTGGCTAGTTCATTCTTGTAAATGTACCAACAAAAAACTCAGGGGTCCCGGATGCCAGAACTTTGCATGTTGGACAAGAAAATAAAAGACTCTGATTTGCCCTAGGAGGTGAAGATGTCATTCTAGTGCTTGGTCAGTCCCAGCAGGGTGGGTGTGTTTCTGTGAGTATTGATGGAGGCCTAGAGAAGCTGTACCATGCACCATGAAACAAAGGAAAGGAAGGCATCCAACGAGAGAATGGTCACCTCTTCCTCTGGGCATGAGGCTGCTCAGCTGCACAGAATGAGCATTGTTTCAGCGGGCGCTTGCTGATGATGTCTGAGGAAATTCGGTGGTAATGCTAGGGTGTTAGTAGTTTTATGGTTTTATAAACTTGACCTTTTTTTTTCCCCAGTCTTAGAAAAAGGAAAAGCATTTTACTCAGATGATACAGGCCAAGGCGGGCAGCGCCGCTGGGTGTGAATTACAGCGATTTGTGCCAGAGGCTGCGGGGCCCCGGCAGAGACACCCCTAGGTGGAGCTCCGAGGCCGGGTTTGCTGCGGGGCCCGCGGGGACGGGCCTGTGCCGCTGCGGCAGCCACAGCAGCCGCCGGCCCGGCCCCGCCGACAGGTGCCCTGACCGCGGCTCTCCCAGCGTCATTTCAGAACCCTTTCAGCAGTCAGCACAGGGATGCGACTGGCTGTGAGATGGGATCCGGCATTTTTAAGCCAAGTTCATTTCCTTGCCCACACTCCTGGTAATAAACAGAATGAGCGATTCCATGTGCAGGGCTGGAATGTGGCCACAGCACTGGAGTCTCCACACATCCCAGCCCGCTTTGCTCTGGCTGAGAACAGAATAAGTGCAGGTGTGAGATATGTTTGGTCTGCTCTCCCTTCCAGATCCAGGAAGATTATTTTTGTCCAAAAAAAGACACAAAAGAGAGACTTGGCATTAATAATAATACAAGGCTTGCTCCTACTGCATTCGTCTTGGGAATACAATCCAAGTTAGCGTGTGCCTTCTTTTTTCACTGGTAAAAAGAGGAAAATTCTTCGACAAACCCTCTGAAAGGCTTATCAGAACCCTTCTCTGCCAATCAAGAAGACACTGCTTTGTGCAGTTATTGCACCTTATTTCTGGTTTCTCCGTGATAATCAGCAATGTAGACTGCCCCACATTACACCAGTAATGCTATTTTAGGGCATTTTCAGGTAGGATTTACCATAGCATAGTGATGTCTAATCTGTAATGCAGTAGCCTCTAAGGGTCCCACCATACTCCCACTGAATGCACAAGGAAAATTCTGCTGTGTTGAACATGCCAAACAACAGAAATTCAAAAAAGAGTAAATCATTGCTTCACCCCTGGTATTTTGCATATCTAAAGCATGTTCTGTATATCTAAGTATGTATTTTCTCTCTCCTGAACAATCATAAGCCCAGTTCTGCAAGCCATAGTTCTGTCTTTCAGATGCCCAAGAATTCTGAAGACAAGCACTGCAGCAAGGCTGCTCCTGCAAGTTAAGGTTGTACCTGAGAGTAAAGTGCAGGATCAAGCCCAGGCTTCATTATCAGTGCCTTTGCCGACACAGTTCACATTGATACTTATTTCAAAGGGCAAAAATGAACAAGTAAGCAATACCAAATTAAAATCCCATCTGGTGTGCTAATAACAAAACATATAGATGTGGGGCAAGGTATAATGAATGCAATTCATTTCCTCACATGAAAGAATGACCTCCATAACTCACTAGAGACTCTGCCACTCATGAGTTATGGGTCATTCCTTTTCTGGTGAAAATAAAATTTACTGCACCATCATCTATAGCCATGTATTTTTTTTTCTCTTGTAAATTTAGAAATGTGGAAATGTAATCCTCTGTTTACTTACATTATGTTCAAAGACAATATCCCCTTACTGTAGTATTGTTTTAAATGAAATCTTTTTTACTATGTGACATAAGCTATATTTCTTTCATATATTCAGCAACAAGACTTTGCATTAAATAAAATGTGGCATTTATTTTTGAGATACTGCTACTGTTAATAAATTCCTTAATTGGTTTCCCTGCATTTGCAATACAAGTTGAATCCTTGAATTTAATCAAAGCTTGGATTACACTAAAGAATATTTATTACAACATCAATTTCATATTATAAAACTTCCCTTTTAAGTTATTTTACCTTAGCCGTGAATATTTTCTCTAGACTGAAACTTGACACACGGTCTGTTGTCAGTTACAAACTATTTTTAATCCCTTTTTATAAATAGATTTTTTTATTATTTGTTATACAAGAGCTATGTTTAAAAAGATAAAACACTATTTATAGAGGATTTTTATTCTACTTGGGTAGATGTTAACAAAAGCAATGCCACTAGAAATCAGGTGAACCTCTTTCCTAATATCCAAGTTATTCTGTACAGTGTGGATTCTACACAAAATTAATTAACCTTTTTTTCCTTCATTCTTGATCATCTTTTCTGCTGTGTAAACTTTAAGGAATTATAAAGCTTTTGTAGCAAGTCTTGCACTTCCTCAGTTCCCACTGAAGTGCATTCCTGATAACTTGGGGGAGCTTGGCTCCCTGTACTGCCTAAAGATAAACTGTGGCCACATTTCAGACTGTCTAAACAGAAGACACTTAGATTTGAATGTGCATTTCTGTAAGTACAATTTGTGGTCTTCAGGGTGAATAGCAGAGCTTTCACAGAGTATTGCAGCAATTGCTGTTTCTGATTTTAAGTTCCTACCAAGGAAGGGTAACAAGTACCCCTATATCACTTAAACTCTCTTCTTGCCAGTGGGTGAAATTATGCCCCTTTGAAAATCAATGATATTTGGGAATTCTTGCGTGGTGTTGGTCTTCAGCCTTGGTTTGGTCCTCCAATACAAATGTATTTTGTATTTCTTGTATATAATTTCCTTTCATGCTAGCTAGATCATGTGGCTAATTGCAGAGTATCACTGGAGACTGACACTGTGAAAAGAAAAGTGCTACAATTTTCCAGCTCAGCCAGTCATTTTTGCAGGTATTATGCCCTTCTGCTTCTGAAAAACCAGGTTGTTTCTGCCATGGGTCAGAGGCACAGCACCAGTGGTGCCTACAGGGGCTCTAGCACCTCCTCCAGACAGGATCTGTTCAGGATGCTTGAGGTTAGCAATAGCAGTAAGTGTTTTTTCTCTGCCATGAGCCCATTCAGGCAGGAAGACTGCTATGACAAGTATCCAAGAGAAGAAGCATGGTGATAAAAAATGTTTCTGGGATTAACTCCCCCATTCACACAGTCATGTCTGAGCTGCTGAGCTGTAGGGAATTTCACTGCATCTGTTTTCAAATGCCTGTCCCAAACTCAAGTGGGTATCTGCAGCAGAAATTTGAGACGTTTCCTCTTTAAATCGTGCCACTTCATTTCAAAGTGTCAGATTGAAAAAAAAAAAATCTAGTAGTTCATAACAGTATATTTTATCTGAGTTCTTTTAAAGGTCTTCCAACTTAACATGTCAGCTATCTCTGACAGTAGGGATTGACTAAGATGGTCGTCTGAGCATTGAAGAAATCTAAGTACTTCTCTAAATAATAATTTCAAAATTTTATCAGTTTAGTTTTGGCGTTTTTATTTCTCTGATAAAAAAAATCCAGTTCCTGTCTCAGTTTTCAGTTACTGGTATTTGTTTTCAGCTCTTTTTGCCTTTAGTGCCTCCTGGCTAGCAGAGAAATAGCATGCTGGAAATGCAACAAAGAGATAATAACAGGTCACTCCAAGGACATTATCTATTCTGCTAACCATCTGACATACAGCAGAGAATAGAATATGACAATAAAGCATTTATCTTCTCCTTACTGAAATGTTCATGGTATCAAAACAAAGTTGACTGTTCCTGGATGGACTAACATTACTTATCCCTTTTGCTACTGATAGTTACAGCTGCTTTTTTTTTTTTTTTTTCTTGCTGCTCTCAGACTGCAGGATTTCAGGAGATTCTAACCGAAATTGAAATTTTAGCTTTGATTGTGGGATGCTTGTGTCACGACCTTGACCACAGGGGAACCAACAATGCCTTCCAAGCCAAGTAAGCTTTCTAATTCTTACTATTTTAATTTGGTTTTCTTCCATGGGAGAGCAAAAGGTGACCAGGATAAAGAATGAAGCATTAATTTCAAGCTTTCTAGGCCAAGGCCAAGTGCTCTTATTCCTGTGTGCAGTGAGGGACTATCCATCTTTATCATTCTCTGTTCCTTTAAGTAATTGCTGGCTTGTCCTTTGTATCTGGCTGTTGAACTGACACCACATATTGAAATGTGGTGTCAAAACTTGATGTTCTTTTCAGGCTTATCTGTTATTGATTCTGGTTTTCAACCCAGGAAGCACTTAAATTGTCTGTCTGGGTTGGTCTTGCTGACTGGGGTGCATGGCATTAAGCAAAACCTTGTTCTGCTATTGTGAAGAATAGAAAATAAGTGAAACTGAAATAATGTTTTCACAGAAACCAGGCTGCTGCCATCAGGCACAGTGAAGTAGTGAAGTACAAGTAGGTTTGTAGAAGGCTTAAGAGTGGTACTTCTGTGTAGGTAAGGGAACTCCTTAGACTAAGGTCAAATTCATTCCAAAATCTGCCTTCCCTGAGAATAGGAGGGACAAGAGAAAATGTCCCCAGCAACATCCTGGCAGAGCTGTGAAATAAAGCTGCCAGACACAGAGATTCCTTCAAATCCCGTGTTGTTTTCTTCACTCCCCCGTGCCACTACATAATACAAGAATACGAGGCCCCAAGGCATTCCTATCCTGCAGATCCCAGTGTGCATTTGTAGCTTTTTATGTTCTGCCTTACTGCTAATCCTCCAGTGTGATGGGGGAGTGGTCAAACGGTTGTCCAGAGGTATTTGAAAGGCAGAGTGATGTTTTATTATGCTATTTTGTCCTACTTTTGCAGAAGTACTCTGCTGCAACGAGTGTATGCAGGGGCTGCTGCATTTCTGGGGGCATGTTGCCTCAGTGACCATCACTCAAACTGATGTTTCTGATGTTCACTAAGCTGCCATTTCCTGAGGTATTGGTGTTGCCATACAATCTCAATGAAACAATGACACTGTCTGGATCTTCAATCACCATAGCAGGGAAAATCAATTGCAGTGCTCAAAAGACAGAGCTCATGGTGCAAAGGTTACCAAGCACTGCTAGATGCCTTTTTGCAGCTGAGTCTTGAAGAGAATCAAAACAGACGAGACAAATGGGAAGGAAGCTCAGCTGATTGATGTTTATGTTCCCAATTTACAAAAACGAGACCTAAGATTTACATCCTGGCCATTTTAGGCTCTGATTAAATTAACCACTTCTCTGCTGTACCATTACACAAGAGTATCTTTTGTGCAGAGGGCTGTCTGAGTTAAATGCACAGGGATCAGCATTAGACTGCTATCACTCATACTTGTTGTTTGACAACGGAGTATGGAGAGGAGGCTACCATTTTATGACTCCATAAAGAAACTGCTGAAGACATTTAATGAAAGACAAACATTACCACACATGTATAAAACATCCCTGAAAACAGAAGCTGTAGTTTTCATAATGCTACCTATGATTCATTCCTCTAACCTGACATAAATTCAAGCATCACATTTTCCTATTTTATCTTCAGTGTCTAATGCTGTTGTTCTGTATGATGAAAGTTCAAGAGGTATATGATGGAGGCAATATCACAGTTGTCTCAAATGGCTCTATTATATATGTCAATATCACATTCTCTAGGGAGGATGTTTCCTGGACATCCTTTTCTCTCTTATAGCTGCATCTGATAATTAAGCATCAATATGGTGCAGTTTTATGGTATATGTTCCTAGGAGACTCCTTCTGTCTCTAGCATAATCTCTTATTCTCATTTCTTTAGAAAGAAAGCCCATCTTGTCACTTTAGGCTGGGTCCCAGAAGTGAAGTACTTTGCCTGAACTACTTTGGTACTTGGTGAACAGTGACCATTCTGACAATCCAGTCCCACTCTCTGCACTTCCCAGCAATTTGCAATTTTATAATATTATTCCATATATTTTTGTTCTTTAAATGTAGAAAACCAACCCGCACTGTGTATTTTGAATCTGATTTTGGTTTAGACAATACATGTAATGAGAAAATACATTCTAGGGATATGCTAAGCTTTACTTTTATATTCTCATTTGTGGTTTTTTGTTTACCTTAGTATTTGCAGTTGGGTTTTTTGTTGTCGTATTTTGGGGTTTTAATTTAAGCGTTTGTAGTAGGGCATTGGAAGCCCTTATGTTTATGTCTATTATGAATTAAAAATAAAACAGGGGAACAGCTGATCCCAGCTGATCCCAGCTCAAGGACACATTACCTTGTGTCTTTACTGCACAGTTCTGTGTCTGTGCTGTTGCTGAGGCACTCTGAAAGCTGCATTACAAAATTTCTTGTAATCCCAGAAAAATCTTTAGTCAGCTGGCAATATTTAGCAAAGAATGGAACATAAATGCTTTATATCTGGATTTAAATTAGTATTTTGATCTCATCAGCTGTCTTAAGTGAGGTTGCTAAAGTGGAGGTGGAGAATGTGGCTACGTGCTTTTGTCACTAAATTGTCTCTGAAACCTGCTTCGTAAGCAGACAAGCAGGATTTGTTGACTTCCCATGTTCTGTTTCAGGAGTGGATCAGCCTTAGCTCAGCTCTACGGCACCTCTGCTACCTTGGAGCACCACCATTTCAATCATGCTGTCATGATTCTCCAAAGTGAGGTACAAAAGCATTACTATTAATCTCACTGTAAGCTGTTGGGCAGTTTCAGCTGGAGAAAGGAAATACCATGTACAGTACCTTTTTAATGCCCTCTCCTTGAGGAATTATTTATTGGTTACCACAAAGGTCACAACTAGCACAAAATTAAACAACTACAAATGCTGATCACAGAGCCCAGAGATTATATCTGTCTCAATCAGCAAGGGGCAAGGAGACTATATCCTAATCATATTGTCAGCTTTTCTCACTCTTCTTACATATATCCTGCTCAGTGGTTTAGAGGTGGCTGGAACAGGTGCTTACCTTTCCCCACAGGTGTCATATTCAGATTATCAGAGTATCCTTTACTGCACCAATTTAATTTCTTTGGCAGCCTTTCTGTAATCAGTATTTTTATGATTTTTTTCATAATTTAATACACTATTTTTAAAAATTAAAATCAGTAATATCATGCTGTTCAAAGCACATTAATTGCTTTGCAGATACCTGTGAAGACATAGCTCTTGCCTAGAATATCTTGCATGTAACACTATACAGCATATACTACACTATGTATTTAATAACTGAGAAAAGTGGAAGAATGGACATGAAGTCCTTTCAAAACAACAGATGCATTTTCTTAATTTACAGAAATTGGTTGCTAAAAAATGCATTTAGTAAATATAAAACCAGAACGGCTGTTCATGCAGCACAATTTGATACCATAGCCTAATCTGCAGTAACTTCTGAAGAGATCTGGAATGTCTCATAATCACAGACAAATGGGTACAGGGTGATGGTTTTACCTCTGTGTACACTGCCAGGGAGATCTGTCTCAGAACTGCACCTCCCCAGACTTTATCTCATATATGTCCTCATACCATCATGATAATAGTAACCCTGTTGCTGGAAAATTCTTAGTTTTAAGGGCATTTTAAACTTCCTAAGCAGTAGATGGCAGTGCATACTGAATGTGGAGACTGCAGTTCTAAATATCACCAAAATAAGACTCTGGTTAGAAAGCACTTCAATATGTATATAGGTGATTAGGAAAAAAAATACCAGTAATACATTTATGTATACTAATATATGTGACTATTGTCACCAAGATAATTTCTTAAGCTTACATTTAGAGTTTTTCATTAATTTTGTTTCTTTCATCTTATTTTCTTGAGAATTTCACAGAGGAATTACAGGATCTCTGTCCCTCCTGTTTTCAGAAATCCAGTTACAAAAGAACCTTCCCCCTCTCAAATAGCAACATCAAATAATTTCTTTTCATTTTGGCCATAGAGCATCTTTCAATTTCTTAATCCACAATCCCTTAAAAAACAGCCACTTGGGCCCACAAAGGATGTTTAAATTGCATATGAAGTTGTGTTACTTTAGTCCATATAGGCAATGGCTGTATACACTTTAGCACAAGACAGTAATGGGGAGAGTGAGCAAACGGGCTGCTTTGAATGAAAAACTGATTTAGTGTCCTTGACTGGTCTAACAGCAGTTTGTGTGCATGCAAGCAGCAGCACAGATAAATCTATTAGGATCACTACTCAAAAGCTCCAATACGCAGCTCCCCAAAACATTTAATATGATGAGAGATTGAAATGTATCCATAGTTTTTCCCCATAAACTGAGTCTGTGCAGGGTCAGAACAGAGAGTAAATCTTTACTCGACAGGCTGTAATTTCTGCAGGGTTTAGAAAAACATAGCAGGTGATTGATAACAATCATCAGCTCTTCTGCCTCAATGTAATCTCAGCAGTATTAGCATTATTATTTTGTCATAGTTTCGCCATGAATCAGAAAAGGCTTGTGTTAAAGGGAAACAGTAGACTAACAAGTTAGAAAACTTTTTAAAAACCTATATTGATTGTTAGCTCTTTACCTCTTTTATCTCTTTCATTATAGGGTCACAACATCTTTGCTAACTTGTCCTCTAAGGACTACAGTGACCTTATGCAGCTTCTAAAGCAATCAATATTGGCAACAGACCTCACTCTGTATTTTGAGTAAGTATTGGCATTTCTGGTATTTGATGAATGAAAATTCAGAGAACTTACTCTAATGACCTATTAAATACCAATAAGGATATATAATATTAGAAATTAGTGTTTAGCTATGGTTGAAGAGGTTTAGTCTAATATTTAATATCTTTTAGACTAATAGAAATATCTCAAATGTTCAAGTAAGTTTTGTTTTAATGTGTAATATATCTGTATTAACCAAAAGTAAATGAAATACTACGTTTATACTTCGAAGCAATCCCAGGAACCAGTTACAGCTCAGTTCCATAATTTTTCTGTCCCTTCTATGATCATTTTTTCAGGCACATAGAAAATCAATGACATTAGAGAATTCCACCATTTCAGCATTTCTAAACATTTATGCCAAGAAATATTGTATTTAGTTACAGAGCCAGTTACAGAGGTAACAAAGCAGACACTTTGCTGCTTTGAAGACAAATTATGCCAATTCACATCATGCAATGAGAATAGGGCTTTTTAAAAGCTTAACTGGGGAGAAGTACACTAGGATCTCTCTCATCCAGCTTTCTTCCTTTTCCTTGTTTGCAAATCAAATCTCAAAGTAGATTTCAAGTTGGTCCTGTATTTCAAGTATTGTTAATCATTACCCCTACTAAGGATGTGTGGGAGGATGCATGTAGTCAGAGGAGTAATGGTGTGACCATCACACTGCACTTCTGACATCTGGCATTAGCCTGCAGCTAACTTAGGGGCAGAAGTGCTGACAGATGTGCAGTTTCAGTGCACTGCCTTCCCAGTCTTGACCATAAGTCATCCTTAGGAATTTTTGTTTGGTGTCCATTAGCATCCTATCCTGTCTTTCTGCCATGTTTCAAGTGAAAGGATTAGAGTCATACCAGGGGAAGTTTAGCTTAGATGTTAGAGAAAAAAATCACTGAAAGAGTGGTTAGACATTGGAGTAAGTTTTCCAGCGAGATGGTGGAGTCATCACCTTTGGAAGTATTAAAGAGTTGTCCTGATATGGTTTAGGGGTGATTATGATGGTGCTGGATTGATGGTTGGACTTGATGACCTGGAAGGTCTTTTCCATTCTGTGAGATGCAAGGACCATAGGTCCTCTTGTCTCGTCATAAATAAATGCTGCAGAAATGTTTGTGCTCTCAAGGAGGAGGTGAGTGACAGGGACTGAGAGGACAGCTGCTCTGGCACAGCTCCATGTGCTCCCCCTGGCTGAGATCCTGGAGACCCTGGAGGTGCCAGAGAGGGCTCATGGCAGTGCCTTGGGAGAGACCCTGTTCAGACCCAGACATGATGGAGCTCTCTTCCCTACCTGCCTTAAGCTGAAAAAATATGTGGTCATATTGTTTTTCTAGTTTTAGTACAGAGAAACAATGTCCAGAAGGAACATAACCGAATTTCAATATTAATTTTTTTTACTTGCATAATTGATTTTTCATGCTGCATGAATCTTTTAGCAATAATTTACTCAAAAGTCTGCAGACAAGTTATTTTTTCCCCTTGTGTTACTATGATTCATTAATAAGGTGGTAGCTATGCTAGTTTATTTCCAAAAGTGCCTGAAAATCACTCTCCAGAAACATCGGTGCTTTACATTTCTTAAAGCCACCCTATGTGAACAGGTGTTTCTACACAAGTACCTAATTTGGTCTTTCAGTTTGCTACATCTTCAGTATTTTTGTAGAGAGGGGAATTCTCATATCAGTACCCTTAAAATGACTGAATCTAATGATCACAAGCTCCACTGTTGCAGAGTTAAGACTTGTCAACCTTCTCAAGGCATTGGTTTTATACAAACAGAAAAGTGACTCTCACTGAAAGATCAGATGGGATTTTAGTTTATAATTCTAGATAATGACACTTGTAGATAATACTACAAGTAAAAGCATGGAGCCAAAATTAAGTTTATGGAAATTCATCCAAATGATGTCTTGAGCCACTGGGCTGTAGAGCAAATGAATTTGTTATACATAGGGAAACAACCTCCCTTCGAGGCAAAATACAGCCAGAGTTAATGTTACTCAAAGACCCTGGAAAACTGTTATAATTCCATTTGTTTCTGAAATTCTGCCATATTATATTTGCTTATTAATAGAAAACCTCATCATTTTGGATATGAATAAAACCAGTAGGAAATGCTAAATAGTTTCATCATACGTGATTGCTTTCCTCTGGTTCAGTCCTTCCTGCACTGAAAGGACTACTCAACTCTGTGGAGCTGGACTATGACTTCTGTATCCATTTAAATGGATTTCAAAGAAAATACTTAAAGGTTTTAGCCTAACATAAAGCTTTGAGACTCACATTTTCAGTTACTGTTTATGGTTCTCTACATTTTAAATCTGAATATTTTAGGTTTCTTGTTCTTTCAGCTTTAAACATTCTTGCCTGGTTTTTGTTCAGGAACATATGAATTGCTCAGAATATCCAATACTTCAAAATGAAATCTTTTATTTCCCAAAGTATAAGGGATTAGATATCATCATGCAGTCATTTATAGCCCTCATCTAGCTGCTGAATGAAATCCATTATAGAAAGGCCCTAAGTAGGAGTGACTGGTCATATATATAACCATGACAGTCAGGGACCAGAATAATGCAACATGCCCCACATAATGTTCTGGAACATAGTGTTTCTGGAAGTGTGATTCTCTTTGTATGCAAATAGGTACTGGCTGCCATCAGGCTGCACTGTCAATAATCACTGTCCAAAATTTCAGTCTACTTGAAGTAAATGTAGAAAATACAAGACTGCAAACTTTCTCCTGTTGAGGAACCTAACTATATTTCCTCTTGACAAAGAGCACAGTCTCATATAAGAGGAGGCACTGCACTGTCACTCAGAACATAGGTATTTATTTGCTTTCCAGCTTTGATGCTCATATGTTGTGTCACTGGGGCAAGTTGCTCCAAGTTTTTGTACTTCAGCTTCTGCTTTATCTTGGGCAGGATCTATTATATACTGTAGTCACATTGCAAGCAGTAAGAGCTGCTTGGAGTCTCAGTGACATAAAAGATTATAGACTATGACAAGTCAGAATTTTGATTCTTAAAGGCAATAATCAAGCATTAACATGTTCTGTTCATCCCACGTTTTGTCCATGTTTGAGGACATGAAGAAGGCATGAGAAGACAAACCATGGGACTAAGCAGGGAGACCTAGTTTCTAGTCTCTAAGAGCTATGAACTCAAGACAGCAGCAGCTCCTGTGTGTCTCTGTTTCTTTCTGTGTGCTGGAAATAACAGGAATTGCACAGCCCTGAAAAACCCTTCAGGATATAGAAGTAAAAACCATTTTGCAAGGACAAGAAAACAAACGTGTGTGTATTTCTGGGGTGTTTCTATTGTCTGTCTGTCCACTGCTGTAGGTGAACATTTCATGCTTCCGTGGAAGACTGAACATTTCAGAGCCATTCATTTCCTTATTTGTGGAGACCATAAATCCAATATTGCTTTTACTAGGCAACTCTGACATTGATAACAGACATTTATAGAACGTGTTCGGAAATTAGTATGTTTCGCTTAAATGGACTGTCAGTGTAACGGCCTTAACAATAATACATGAGGTGCAGTGATTCCGTATCACACAGAGAGCTGTGTTTCTGCTGCAGTGCTGCCCTGCAAGTGTCTTATTTCCTTCTCTGACAATCTGTTTTTTTGCAGGAGAAGGACTGAATTTTTTGAGCTTGTCAGTAAAGGTGGTTATGATTGGAATATAAAAAACCACCGAGAAGTATTTCGGTAAGCACAGTTTTTTCTTGCTTTCTGGTTATTTTGAAGTGTAGCCATATTTGTTAAAGGAATTTAATGTATTGAGGACTGGAGGCATAGAATAACAAGAGAAAGTATCTTGTTTTAAAAATACAATTCATGATCTGAAATACATGGTATGATTTTTAAACATTAGCAAACAGCTGGAATTAATCAACATGACTTCACCTTCTCCATTTCTCCTACACATTTAGTCCTGTTTTCTTCCTTTGTCCCAGCCTCACCAGCTCCTGTTCAACCCTTCTGCTCTTTTTCCAGAAAGTATCAATATTCTGCCTCTCTACAAATAGATCTTTCCTGTCTGTTTCCCTCATCCCTCTTCCTCTCATCTGTCTTTTTTTGCTGGCCATGCACTTGTCTGCTCTTCCCATCTGTACCTGGGAATTTTCATATACAGAGTATTCTTCCAGCCCTCAGGAATGCCCAGAGCATGCATCCTATTGAAAACCTTGGACATTGTGGGTGGTTTGAGTAGATCACACTTTGTAGAGAATAAAATGTGTGTATTTGCATATGCATGCCTGGTTATGTCTCATTTTATCTGAAATTTCATTAAAATTCTGTTATCTTTTGGTCTTTTGACAAAATATTGGCCATTTTCTATTTTCCATACCATTTCACCCATTCCTAATTTTAGATTCAGGCAATATATTTGATGCTTCATTTTCAGTGCCCTTGTTCTTCATTTAAACTTTCTTAGACTTTTATCTGCATCATGTACTGTACATAAACGCTTTCTACAGCTGAACGGTTTCCTTCTCCTAATGCATATAAAACATGGTTGTAGCTAGATATTAAACTACAGTGGAACCATATAGCTCACAGTAAATCTTCAATTTTTATTGTAGATGAGCAGTAGAAACTGCTTAAACAGTGTCTGGGATACCTCCTGTGATTATAGGCTCTCTTGCAACAGCAGTCACTTACAAATAGGCATATAAATTAATCCAGTTGCAGGTGTTATTATGTAATAATACCCTTACTTATATCATGTGAAGCACATGCTTTCTAATATATTATAGGTATTAATGTAAGTAGTGTTAGAAGTATTGCAAAATTAGCAGTTACTCCCTTGCAATATCATTTCTTCTCTAGCGCACAATGCACAATACCAAAATTCATCATCTTATGACCTGCAACACATTAGGTTTCTGAGGCACAATTGTAATGTAAAAGCCACGCTGATGGCTAAGATTTCAAACATGTCATTCTTTTCTGGAGGAAAAGAAGGTGCCAGGGCTGACATTTTATATACATATTATTTATTTATGCATCCAGAGCAGAGTTGTTTAGAAATTCAACAAAGGTTGATTCAGCTTGTATTGTTCATTTCTGGTTTTCAGATCAATGCTAATGACAGCCTGTGACCTTGGAGCTGTGACCAAACCGTGGGAGATTTCAAGACAGGCAAGTCATGATTAATAGTAGGGCTGGGAGGAGGCGGGACTGGCAGGACAATATTCCCAGGGCCCTGGCTTACAAGGGACCGAAACTGGAATCAATTTACAGCGGTATTAATGCTATAAAAAAAATAGCAGGGGGTTTCTGCAAAAAATGGTTTATTGCATAATCGTTCCCTGTACGCATGCTGGTGTGTACATCTGGCTTTACAACCTCTCTTCTTACGAAAATTTTAAATCCATATCCAAAAATGGATGGATTAAACAAAAAAGGCATTTAGCCACATATAGCTGCATTTACTTTTTTCATCCCAAAGTTTTCCTTGGCAGTGGCAGTCTTCCCTAACAACAGATTATCTGTAAATTTTCATTAGCATAAAATCTTCAGTAGATATGATAAAAGAAATGTGCTAATTTTCTTAAGAATGTTGCAAAACTCCAAGTGTACTATAAGGCTTTCTTTAACATCCTGTACCTAGAAACCAGCAAATAAAAATTCAGGATTCTGCTGCTGAGTAGGCTTTTTAGAAATATACATAGAAATGGATCCAGCATCAGCAAACAGGTAGAATATGAGAAAGCAACCTGTTCCAAAACTCTTGTCCATTGCCCTACGATTTTTCTTCTTCTAGATATCTTCCTCTACCCAGAAACCATCCTTAATATTCCCAGTGTCCATGTTAGTCATTCTCTATCCTTCAGTGACTGGAAGCCAGTAGAAGATAGACTGTGTCAAGTTTTGGAGGAATTGACAGCATCAAAAAGGAAATTGAAAATATACCAGTGCAGCTGGGTTTAGGTACATACCTGGAGGAAGTTTGCTGTAACAGCAAGTAATAGTTACAAAGATGGGGTGAAAAAGAGAAAACTAGGCCAGATAACTGGTGATGCAGGAGCAGCTAGATTCCTTAGACAAGGAATTATTAGAAGCTGAAAAGGCTCTATGGAAGTTACATGCACATCAGCTGAATAAAAAAACATTTATTGGAGGATGGATTCACCTCAGCTTTCAGTTTTGCCAGGTGAGTCTTTTTTTACTTTATCAGCAGACTGTGATAACAGTTGTTCTAAGGCTGTTGCTCTACTTGGCCAGAACATAGTCACCTCACATGCAAATCAGGAAAGCTGCTTCTATCCTGCAGTGGGAAATTGAGAAACAACATTTTTCAATGCCACCTGCCACTGCTGCAGTGTGTGCAAGCCCTCCTCATTTTTCCTCCTTAACCCAGTTAGCTTCTGTATTTTCATTGACAGCCAAATGTCAGGTAGGGTCTGCTTTCCTAGTTGTGAATCTTTGTGCTATGCTGCTGAATTAGTGCTGGAGTCTCTGGCAAACTGGGTTTTTTTAATACTTATCACTCTTGAAGTCTACAGGTGAAAAGTCCCCTGCAGCTTAGTTATACAGGTTTATTTTATATTGAAAAATCCCATCTGGGATTTCTTGAAACATTACCTGATTGAGCAGAAATGCTAGTAAGTCCACAGAGACAAAACGGGAAATAGCTGAACCTTAACTGTGCCACAAGGAAAAAACCAAACATATTTGAAAAAAGGGAATAAAGGCCACATGTAAGATGGAAAAATTCATGAAGAGAAAACTGAAACAGATAAAGGAAGAGAAAATGGGACATAAGGAGAACAGGATGAGAATAGCACTGAGGGACAGGGATGATACTATGCCTTGATTATTTTTATACAATATACTTAGCAAACCCGTAATTGCTGATAAGTTCTGAAATTATTCCTTTATCTGGAATACTGATTCAGAATTTTATTAAGATTTAAGAGTACTTTATAACATCACCTACTTCCAAATTATTTTGATACTCTCTATTTCAACTACAATGAACTTAGCATTTGTGAACGTTATCTACCATGCAGTTGCTAAAGCAAGAAATTTTGAGATTTTATGAAGCACAGGTCATCTGCTTAGTTTACCCTCTTGTGCCTTGGCACTATGAAATAATTTCCTAGCTTAAAAACAATGCACTGGCATGACAGGAGCTTTAGTATGTGAATGCCTCTTTAGTAGATTGGCTTCCAGTTTTTTTGCATCTCAAAATGTCGTGTGGGCTTATGTTCAAAGCCTCACATGTGACAGGAGGACAGTACTATATCAGAACTGCTTACTGCTTGACTTCCTAAAATTCCTCTGGTTTCCAAAACTAAATTTATTTTTAAATCTTATCTTCTTCTAAGAACAGAACTCTGCAGTAAATAGAACATCTTCATTCACAAAAGTCAGAAAGTTGCATTCTAACTTCCAACCTACCACTTCTTGATTTTAAATCAAGATTATCATCACAATCTTATACTTAAATATCCAGATCCTGTATTAATGACAGTCATGGGGAAAAAAAGTAAAGCCTAGTGGGGGAAAAAACCCCTTTATGAATCCATATTAGATTAAAACAACAGAGGGTATTGGTTAATTAAGTTTCATTGATAAGCAAAGTTGTTATTATAGGGCAACAGCCTGTAAATGCCCAGAGAGGTCACGCATGTTTTACAAAGTATTTTTACAAATGTAATAGTGGATGCCAACAAGAAGCTATCATTTTCTGGTTTGGTCTCAGTTTTTGAGTAAATTGCTTATAACATTGAGTGCTACCTTGGCAGTGCAGTGTAATTCCCCAAGTCAATTCCCTATCAAAAAGGGATAAGTCCCTGTGCCTGATGAAGGCTGTTTATACCTCCTGTATGCCCAGTCCAAAAAAACTAATGAACACATGCCTGATGTCAGTCCTGTAAGTGAGGTCATTCACTTCTTTCCAGTTAAGTACAGGCTGAAGTCGTGGGCTGAGCAAAAACTCATTATCCTAAAAATTGTATAAGAACTCTAATCTTTTATCATGATTTTTATTTTAGGCAGCTGAGCTGGTCACCAGTGAGTTCTTTGAACAAGGAGACAGAGAAAGATCTGAACTCAAACTCACCCCTTCAGTAAGTTTTTTATTATTTCTGAAATAGTTATTGATTTGAATAGAGTAAGAAAATATCATTGAGCTCATTCAGAAAAATGAACTGTATTTTATACATAAAGAGAAACCTCAGAATTAATAAAAGCTCTGTCCAATAAGGATATGTATTTATAACCACATATAAAATAGCTCGCCAGTCAACACAGTCATTTTTGCCCTTTCATAGTCCTTGAGCCCTTTTATACATTTTCTGTATCTATTCCTAAGGTTATCCTATCAGTGAATATTCTAAGCAGCAGGTGTTGGGTTTAATACACAGAATATAACTAAAACTCACAGCTACCTATGGAAAACAAAATTGTCAGATTTACTTTATGTTGCAGCTGTATATCTGTGTTATTCAAAATGCATTTCTATAAGTATACATGTAAATATACTACTGTGATTGAAGGGATAAAATGGAATTGAGTGGAATAAAGTGTCAAACAAGAACTAGGAAAGTTTCATAAAGATTTTCACTGAACACTTAGAAGAGAAAGCCTTATCCAGGTTGAATAACTCAAAATGTTGAGCAACCATTATCTGGAGGCAACAGGAGAAGGGTAACAGTAAATATTCTAAAGAATTTAACTGGCAGGAAGAGAGCCAGGCCAGAGCCATCACTGTTTTGCTGAGCGGCAAAACCCTATGTGAGATAAGAGAAAATTCTACTCAAAGGTATCTGCTTTACATTCCTACAGGAGGTTACTTACCACCTCAACTCCAACTGTGGAGCATTTATTTTTCATTGCAGAATTATAAACACAAAAAGTTTCAAAACAGAATTGAAAATAAGCGGTTTATTTTTCATGGCAGGCAAAGCAGTAGGAAGACAACTGCAAAGATTAATTATGGTTTACAAAGTGTTCTGGTTGTGAGAATTTGGCCATAGCTGCAAAGTGCTGGATGATGTGTCTGTAAGATACTCCAGTGTAATCAAAGCATGACAGTTTTGTTTCCTTCTCAATTCAGGCCATTTTTGATCGGAACAGGAAGCATGAACTACCCAGGTTGCAGCTCGAGTGGATTGATAGCATCTGCATGCCATTGTATGAGGTAATTTTTACTTACTGCTCCTATAGAGTCCAGAGGAGATTGTTCTTGTCTCTCTAGGGAAAAAGCCCATGCTTTTTGAGCAGCCTTGAAGGCTATTTGAACTCGTCTTACTTTACCAAAAGTCTGAATGCCATGAAGAAATTTTCAGATTCCCTGAATCTGTCTGTAAATGCCTCTCTAAATTATAAAAGCTGATACAGCAATTGTTTACTTTATTATGTTTGAGACAAACTGATTCTCATCATGGTAAGGTATGGAGTGCTAGAGGGACTGTCTCAGTAGGTGCTATCAAACATGTCCAAATCTGTGTGATGCAAAAGGAAACTCAAGCCTGAGCCTTTGCACTTTCTTCTGACCCTAAAGGTTTCCCAAACTGCTAAGGGGCACTATAGGCCAAGCCTTTAGGGGTCAGTGATGAAACAATTTATTGTTTAACCTGTGCTGTTTAACTCAGTTTACTCTTTTAATGGTGCTTCTGCACAGACTGCCTGGGTGCTTGGCACACAGTGTGTAAATACCCAAGCACTCGTTCCTTAGGGCTAGAGATAACCACAGAACCATTAAGGCTGGAACAGACCTCTAAGATCATCGAGTCCAGCCATTAATCTGGCACTGCCAGGTCCACACTAAACCATATCCCTAGGTAGCACATCTACAGGTTTTTTGAACATTTCCAGGTGCAGTGATTCCACCACTTCCCTGGGCAGCCTGTTCCAATGCTTGACCACCATTTCACAAAGAATTTCTTCCTATCAGAACCATGCTTCTGCCTTTTTGGATTAAACAGCTTCAGGATTTGGCTGAAACCACACAGACTGCCTTATGCCAGCAAAGACTGACTGGCCACTGATATCTGAGAAAACAGGATAATGTTCTCATTCAGCATATTTGGAGAACTGCAACAAGTTCTCCCTCTCCCCACTGCACCCTAAACTGCCTAAGACCTCAAAGCAGTGAACGGGTCAGTGATGATACACAGCAATAACAGCTCCCATGTTAACATTAAAATTATCCGTTTGTGCCTGAACATAGCTTCCCTACACACAAATAGAAATGGATTGGCAGTTCCTTTCATTTTATAGACCAGATATAAAACCAATATCATACAATAAGGACACAAGAAAGCCCATGAGAAGGACAATGTGCTCTCTCCCTTCCATACCTTTTGGCGTATGAAGCTGCCACCATGGAAATTAAATGAGTACCCAGCAGCAATGGTAGTTCCTGTTGTGACATGGAGAGCAGTCACTTGTGTAAGCAGCAAGCCAGGCTGCTGCTTTGCCATGAGATCCTGTCCCTTTCTAAGGTCAGTCTTTGTCCTGATGAAATAAACTACAGCTACCCTTTTCAAACAATTAAGGCAAAGCAAGCAGGGAAGAAGAATATACACCTATATTGTTTAAAAGACCAAAAACATTTTGGACAATAGAGGGGAGGGATGATGGATACTGATCTTGGACAGACACTCTTTAAAAGTAATATTCCTTTCAATAAAATAGCTCATATTGCACTAGAATGTATATTATACCAGAATTCATTATTTCTAATAGCATCTGTAATCCAAAAATGTACAGTAATGCAGGAAGAGCTGATAATCACACCGTCCTCTGCATGAGAAAACTACATCCGAGCACTAAAGCTCTGGTTAGTTAGCTCCATCTTAGCAGGAGATCTCTGGGGAATATATTCACATCTGATTTCCCTGCTTTCCACTGTGTTTGCATCATGCTGTGCAGCCATTAGCCTGCTGCTCAACAACTTCAAAAAGAGACACCATCAAACCTGGAAGTCATAGCAGCACCAGCCTTAGGGGTAAACAGAAAACTTCATGCCATAGTATCACACTGCAGGAGATTCTCTCTTCAGTGTGGAGCCAAGTTTTTATTTTCATATCCAGCTTAATCAAACTTCAATACACATATCCCATCAGCAGAGTATTCAGGCATTGTAAATCCATTGTTTAGGGCTGGCTGAACACTACAACTCTGGCCATATCCTAGATTTTGGGTTGGCACATTTTTACATTCTTTGAAATTCTTGCCATTGTAATACACTGTAGAAAGTGCATGTGGGGAGAGAACAGGTTATATCACTACAAATGCAATATAAAGAGATGCAGTGGCAACTGATAAATCAGTAAAATATTAGCCGTACTATAGCTTGCTACTACAGTACTTAGAAAAACCATGTTTGAAAAAAACCCACAAACATTTGATGCTTATTTTCATACCAAAATTACATTAAACCATAGAGAACAAAATCAAGGCTTTTTTATTTATTTTTTTAACATGCTAGTGATTAAAAATCCTGAATCCACATAGGATTCTATAGCATCCAGATCCCCAAAGAGAATGCTGTGGGGAATGCACCAGTCCCTACCAATGCAGTTGCTAGAGTAGGACCTAATGCTGTGCTCTGTGTTATTTTACACACACACAGCAGAGATCCCAGCAACCATTGAATATTGGCAACTCCCATTAAAATGAGATCAGCAGATCTCCATGAAGTTCTTTGCTCAAAGTAACTCCCAAGAGCAGGCTATTCCTGGCAGCTGAGGATGTCTGAAATATGCAATACTAAAGGTACTTCACAGCCTAAACTTCCAGGAGTGGTCTGATACCATCCCAGTGACTCTCACAGTACCAGAATAAACTGCATCCTCTCTGCAGTCCAAGCTAATGAACTAGGCTACACCAGAGTGCCTGTAAGGACTGGTTCATACTTAAAACAATATCTAAACTTTGCAGTACATTTTAGTTACGGCCTTTCTAGACTTATCATTTACCTCAGCTCTGAAACCTCCTTTGTGGAGATTTGGTTCTATCTGCTCTGCTTTCTGCATTTCCTTCAGGTAGCTCAAGACAACTCATTTGGAAGGGCAGCAGTTCTCCCAAGTAAAGGGTAATGAAGTCTCCTTTATCGAGGAGCATGGATCACATTCCTCTGCTTACCTGGCTAGGACTGTCCCTGAGTTTGGCCCCTTTTGTGAGAAGGGTTACAATGACCAGCAAATCAGCAAGATCTATGCAACTTCCATTAGCAGTCCTGTCTGACTGCCCCTTGGAATGCCCATCCCACCCAGAAGAAAGGAGGTCAGTGATACAGAAAATGTATTACACCATCAGCTACTGTAAAGACTTAAGGTGGATATAGCTATATATATTATAAAAAAAAATCTGTAATTATGCACAGTTTTCCTATATCCAAGTGTCTAAATCAAAAATCTTTGTGCTTGCTCCTAGCACAGCATAAGCCACGGCTCTGCTCTCTTGCTCTCTCCTCGGTGTAGGAATCAAGTCACCTCCAATTTCATATCTTAGTAATCAAATCGATTTCCTTCACACTGTGGATCAAAGGTCTGGGAAAATAAAAGCATCCCAATTTTTAGTCCATTGCATTTTATTACACTTAGGAGATTATAATCTTTTTTTTTGTTACTGTAGTGATCCCAGATCAGAGTATTTTTATGTAACAGTGGAACTTTTGCCTTGAGTAGCAGAACAACAATTTACACTGAATTTCTGATTTTAGGGGCTTTAGTTACACTTTACTGCATTACATTTGCTCTTCATTCAAAACACAGTAAGAAAAGCATTTATCAGTAGAGACGAGAAACAAGTTTATTAGAATAATAATTTCTAAGGAAAAAATGCACTTTTTTGAAACTGTAGAGTATTTCAAGCCTACTAATGTAGCTTCAGCATAAAATAATCTCTTGTTTTGTTAGAATATCCTATAAAGAGAAAGTACATGCAACTAAAGCAGAAAATTTGAAGCATCTCACTGAAAATAAAACACTATGGCTTTGCTGATAGCTGTGTTCATACAGAGAAAGTAACAGAATTTTGATCATTAGGACAAATCACCCCTCTGACCCTCCAGTAAAGAGATGCTGAGTTTCACCACTAACAGATTTCTCTTCTGGACTCTCATTTGCATCTACCTAAGACAAGATCAGTCACAGATTTTTTTCCCAACTCAGATTAGATTTCTCTGTGGGGAGCACACAGAGTGGGAGAGTGAAGATCTTATTCTTTTAAATCATTATATTTCTCACAAACAACATCAAAGCTTCAGCGATTCACATCAAACAAAAGATGCTAACAGAAACCCAGCTCTGTTCAGGGCATTGTTAGGCAGAGACAGTAACGCTATGAATAGCAGGGCCAAAGGCCATGCACTCTGCTTCTGGGCAGATAAATACATAGTCAGGTAGTCAGTGACAATGACAGCAGCTATTTAAATTTAAGGGAGATGTCTTTGTGGAAGATAAAGCAGCTCATGGCTTTTACAACTTATGCGTGCCTGAGATTGCCCTGCTCACCTCTACCTTGGTGCTCCCTTGAACTGCTCCATTTTATTGCTATTTTTAGAGCTATTCAAGATTTTCTTGGGTATTGAGAACTTCAAGCATATAATAGAATCTACAGAATTTAATTTGCATTACTCCATCCAGGATTCTAGGGGGAACCTGGGAAGAGTAGAAACATTCAGCCTAGCAAGTATTTTAAATGTTTGGAATGGAATGTGGAGGGACAGACTCCTTTTTTATCACACTGTTTGAAAGACTTAGAAAGAAATGTAATCACTCTGCCTGCAACTCCAAGAGCTCTGATATGCCTGCCTTCCTACAGAAGATAATGTCTGGCCTTGTTATCATAACATTAAGATAATGTCTGGCCTACGTTATCATAATGTCTATGATAACGTAGCTGAAAAAGCATCTATTCTGTTTGTAAACTCAGATTAAATGCACAGAGTGTCATAAATGGTAGAGCCTCTACAAAGCACAGAAAAAATACACAGAAAGCTTTAATAGTCACGGCTTTCTATGTTTTAACTTCTCTGGTTCAAGAGTTGACTTTGACACTTGAATTAGAAGTACATACACTCACTGTGATTTTTTTTTTCCAAAGTTATATACTCTACTTGAAATTATTAGACAGGAGGTTAACCTCTCCTTTGCGGAGAACATTAAAAAGGTGTTCTTCAAGAATCGT